CTTCACAGCATCAGAGAATCTCGGACAAAGGGTGACTGTCGTTCAAGAACAGAGCATATTTCTGACAACTGAGTGTAGAAACACTTAAGGTCTTGCATTTTTACTTGCAACAAAAATGGAATGTTAAAAATTAAGCCTGGCCTTAGTGGTGGTTACATGGTATTTCCAATTTGTGGTAGTTCATTGAGCTGTATGTCTATGATTTTTGCATTTTTCTATATATATGTTATACTTCAATTTTCCAAAAGTCTATTTTTAAGAAGACAAAAAAAAAAAAAACAAACCCCAAAACATTGTTGTAGGAAAAAGTGGGGGATATTCCAAGTCTGCATAAGCTACAACCACTTCTTGATTCTTCTACATCTGTGAAAAAATAAAAATAATGAAACTATCTTGCCACTTTCTTCCAAGAGACAAGTGTCTGTATTTTCACTTAAGTCAGTACATGGTTGAACTTCTAATAGGACTTTTTGCCTCCCACCTCCATGGTAGAAACTAAAGGAAATGTTTTTTCTTTTATTCCTGTATTTTAAAACACATCACCTGTGACACCGCAGAGTCTGCCAGTGACACTCTCACAATCTGACCTTTATTTGCATAATTTGATAATGATTTACAGAAAACAAGTACCATGCCTTCCCTCAGGTTTGGCTGGGACAAGTGAATCCATAAATGTTTTGGGACAGTAGGAACAGATGTTGAAATATTTGTAGACTCTTTCATGCAAATTGACATTGAGAAAGAATATCTTCCTCTCTTTCACTTTCTCTAAACATGTTTAACTAGCATGAGAAAACCATAAGATAAATCTAGATTGTAGGACATACGGCAAAAAAACAGACCAGGGTTTTTCAAGATAAGTCCATGTAATAAAAGACAAGGAAAGGAAAAAAATAGCAGGTGAAAGAATGTTCTAGATAAAAGATACATGACTCCTAAGTGTATTGTGTGACTTTTGATATTTGGATATAATATCCACCTAGAATTTAAGCCTCATTTTTGTGGTATCCTGAAAACAAGGTCAATTGGTCAGACAGGAAACAGAGTTAAGACATAGATGCATGAACTTCCTCATTATAGCTAAGAAACTGCAGTGCTCACAGGAAACCTTGTACAGAACATATCTTTGAGTTTAATACGTAATAAATGTTTAATCTTTTAAGTATTTTAATTTCTTGAAATATGGGAGTGGGGAAGAATCCATATGGGAGTGTAGTGAGAGTTCCTCTTTGGAAGTACAAGTCTTATCCCCTAACCAGCTAAATTACTTCTTTGTATTACTAGGGTCCACAGTCTAATTCGATTAACTTATTTTGATTATATTCTTTCCTTTCATCACATTATTTTGAAAAATTTTAAACCTAGAGGAAAATTCAAAAACAGTACACACCAGGCACGGTGGCTCACGACTTTAATCCCACATTTTGGGAGCCTGAGGTAAGAGGATTACCTGAGCCCATGGGTTTGAGACCAGCCTGGGCAACATGGTGAGAACTCATCTCTACATAAATAAAAATATTAGCCAGGCATGGTGATGCACACCTGTTGTTCCAGCTACTTGGAAGGCTGAAGTGGCAGGATCACCTGAACCCAGCAGGTTGAGGCTGCGGTGGCCGTGAGCATGCCTCTGCAATTCAACCTGGGCTACAGAGTGAGACTCCGACTCAATAATAATAATAATAATAATAATAATAATAATAATAATAATAATAATATAATGATAATACAACGTACACCCAATACTTCTCATCTGGTTCTACTGATTGTAAACTATTGCAATATTTACAAATACTCCCTCCCTTCCATGTGTAGATATATATCTGTTTGGCATGTGTTTACTGAACCAATGAAAATGAACTTACTGATATCACCCCCAAAGTACTTTAGCATGTATCTCCCTAGAACAAGGACGTTCTCCTTCATAACCACAATAATATCATTATCTTTGAGAAATTTACCATTGATAAATACCACCTCCTAATATACAATTCATAATCAAATTTCCTCAAGTGCTATAATTATTATTCTTGACCTATAATTCAATCCAAATTCACACAATGTATTTAGGAGTCATGTGTCTTTTCTCTAGAACATTCTTTCACTTGCTAATTTTTTTCTTTCCTTGTCTTTTATCATATGGACATATCTTGAAAAGTCCTGGTCTATTTTCTTGCAGCATGTCCTAAGATCTAGAGTTATCTTATAGTTTTCTCATGCTAGTTAAGCATGTTTAGAGAAAGAAAAAACCTGAATTGAGCAGATATAGTAGGCTTTCCATACATATCCCATGTTTTCCCTGAGACTTTGCTCCCACAGACAGTCCCTTTTATGACTGCCTCCCTACAAGACTTGGTTCAATATTTAACCTTCTCCAGGAAGAGTTCTCCAATGTTGTTCACCCTGAAATAGTCTGTGAATAGCTTTACTACTTTAACTTCTTTTCTTGTAACGTATAATTTTTTTGACTTGGTATGATTTTTACTTATTCATAGATCTTTTGCCTTCTTTCTGGCGAAAGCCACCTAAATGCAGGCCTAATTTATCTTTGTGACCTCCCTGGCATCTAGCACACGGTAGTTCACCGAGTAGGCAACCAATATATATATTTGCTGAATGAATGGATGAATACATGAATGAACAAATGAGAATGGTATCCCTGGTTTCTGAGATATAGTGAGTTGGTAAGAACTTGATTTTTTGAAAATGGTTACATAATTTCTTCAGAATTATACTTTTTTTATCCCAGATAATCTGCCTAATTTTTAAAAAATAAAACTTTAGTTTCAACACAAATAAAACATGCATACCATATGCCTTGGTATACCTCTTTTAAAAACCATGTTGTTAAGAATTGAAGGAAGTCTTTCAATTTGGCGAGTTCATTTTTTTAGCTCTGGGAAATAGTGCCATATTGTTTCTTTCTTTCTTTTCTTTTTTTTTCATATTGTTTCTTAAGTTCCTCTCAAGCATATTTTCTTTTCTGTCTGGAATAGGGGACTGTAAGTCAGATGAAGACTTCTGAGTTGATCCTCTGTATTTCTTATCTTTTCTTTCCATATTTTATATCTTACAGGTATTATTAATCTTTTTAAATTTTTGAAATTTTCAGGAGTACAGTTTTGAGTGGTCTTTTAAGTCACATCTGTTTCTTGTTTTATGGATGTAATATCTTCTCAAATCTGTACAAAAATGCGAATTAGAACTTAATGAAATTTTTCTTCTGTTTCCTGCATTACTCTCTGTTTAAGCTTTCTTAAAACATTCTTATTTTTGCTTTGGTCTCTCTCTCTCTCATTCATATTGGAGACATGCTATGCCTTAAATATAGACACTTGTGTGCCCTGAAAAGCTGCTTGGGAACACTGCTCAAGCAGTGTTTACCAACCATCAGGTTGTCTACAGGTTAATTAAATGTTGAATAAGGCATTATGCTGTGGAAACTCCCAACAGTCAAAACATGGCAGTCTTTCTTCTGAGATCATTCAATTTCTCTAGTAAGAAACGCTTCAGTTTTTTGCCTGGGAACTAGACATCTAGTTGCTGATGATCACTGAGTAGAGGGGTGTGTGTGTGTGTGTGTGTGTGTGTGTGTGTTCTGTGCTGTAGCTAGACTTTTTGTTCCCTCCTTCTGTCTTTAGTCCCTTATTTCACCCCTCGTCTCTGCCATAACTGGTGCCCGTTGTCTATCTCCTGCACACCAGAATGTCACACCTCAGTTTTCTCCTGGTACATCTGTTACCACTCATCTTCCATCTATTTTCTATCTTACAGAATTTTGTTAAAATCTCTTACCCTCTGGTGAATTCTCTTGCTCTTCTTGTTGTGGATTTATACATTCTTTTAATCCCTTTACCATTATTTTGGTGGTATCTTGGAAAGGAAAGGAGATAAATACATATATTCAATTTTTAATTTTTCTTTTTTTTTTGAGTTGGGGTCTTAGTCTGTGGCCCAGGCTGGAGTGCAGTGGCTTGAGTACAGCTTACTGCAGCCTCAAACTCCTGTGCTCAAGTGTTCCGTCTCAGCCCCCAGAGTAGTTGGGATTGCTCTGTACCACCACACACCTGGATAAGCGTTTTATTTTCATTTTTTTGATAGAGGTGGGTCTCACTATGTTGCCCAGGCTGGTCGCAGACTCCTGGCCTCAAGTGATCCTCCTGCCTTGCCCTCAAAAGTGCTGGGACTACAGGCTTGAGCCACAGAGTCTGGCCCAATTTGGGCATCTATCTGCTTAATATAAACGTGTTTGATTTACAGTCTCCCCCTCTAAATCTGATTTTGTGAACACAGCAATGTAAATTCTCTGCCTAGAAGATCAAAGAAGTGATTTCCTATGTGATTATGGAGTAAGATTCAGATAATCTTGGGGTGGTTTAGAGTTTCCTCCTGAGTAATCTGGATGAGGGGGAAAGTATTTAAGATACTGCAGGAGGAGTGTGAGATAAACTCTCTCTTTAAGACTTTATAAGCCTGGTTACTTATTTACAATTGGGATAAAATAAATAGTCAAATAACTAGAGAAGTCACACAAAAAGCTACACAAAAAGTTTAGTTAAATTTTAAGTTAAAAGTTGGTTAAATTAAAGCAAAAAGTTAACTTTTTATTCTGCTGCCAAACCATGGGCCTGTGTGTGTTGACACCTTAGATTTCTTCAGATTTCTAGCTCCTAAAAGAGAATAAAGCCACAGCATCACCCAGGCAGGCCCCTCCTGATCCTGCTCATTCACCAAGAATTTCGCCTTTGAGCCACCACGACATGGGCTGGTTACTCACACCATAGATTCCTCAGGATTGGCTGGGACTTCACATAAAATACTGTTTGCCCATAATCAAGTTGATAAGCTACAACATAAATACAGGCAAGTTCCTGCTCTTGGAACATAACATGAAGCATTTGCTCTCCTCTTTCCTTGTGACATTTTCATGCAGGACCCAGGAAGGACACATCGTCTCTGGCCAAAAGAAAAGAACTTTAAAGAAAAAAAAAAAAACGGCTAACATGGGTCTGCTGAGTTCTAAAAACCGCAGAGCCAAGCAAGCTCAAATTCTTCTTCTGGGACTAGACTTGGCAGGGAAGTCCACTCTCCTTTACAGATTAAAGCTCGCTGAGGATATTGCCACCATCCCTACTGTAGGGTTCAACGTGGAGATGATTGAGTTGGAAAGGGACCTCCCACTCATGGTCTGGGATGTCGGAGGACAGGAGAAAATGAGAGCAGTTTGGGGTTGTTACTGTGAGAACACAGATGGGCTGGTGTACGTTGTGGACAGCACGGACCAGCAGCGACTGGAAGACTCCCGGAGAGAGTTTGAACACATCTTGAAGAATGAACACATAAAAAACGTGCCTGTGGTCCTGTTAGCCAACAAGCAGGATATTCCTGGAGCTCTGACCGCCGAGGACATCACCAGGATGTTCAAAGTGAAGAGGCTCTGCAGTGACCGGAACTGGTACGTGCAACCCTGCTGTGCCATCACTGGGGACGGGCTGGCCGAAGGCTTCCGGAAATTAACTGGATTTGTGAAAAATCACATGAAATCACGAGGTGATACTTTAGCACGCTTCAAGCAGAACTGAGGCTGTGGAAAGTCCAGGCCTCAAAACAGGCACTGATGAAGTCGAAAGGGTAATTTTTTTCCCCATGCCAAGTGAAAAAAGGAAGTTATTGAGTTGGCAAGCTTTTTCCTGAGATGTTATTTCACCTAAGTTTGGTTAAACAACTCAGGATATTATCTAGAAAATATTTATTTTTAGCCAGGAACTTTAGCAACCTCTGTGGTTATGGTCATTGAGGATGAAAATGTGTAATGTTCTGCAAAATGTTAACATTGGATGATTTTGAATACAGTAGTCATATTTAAGACCAAATAAATGTTCACTTTATCAGTTTTATATGACTACTAGAACAAAGTTTTAGTAAGCTGTCTGCTAGGAGTCAGAATTCTTTCAGATTGCTTCCAGCTGCTACAGGTATTGAATTTCCCCCATGATCCTACGTAATGGTTGGGTGGTGTGAAAAATGAACTTTAAATTATAGAGAGGAAAGAGTCTGATGTTAACATCTTGTGAGTTCTTATTCTCTGAGTAAAGCTTGTCTTCTGGGTCCCTGCCAGCTTTTTGAAATCTATTGCTGGGAACTTCCTCCAATGAGTCTGAAATGAACTGCAGGCGGTTAACTGCCCAGAGGTCAAAATTCTCTCATAGGGAGTGGAAGTATATCTAGATTAGTTTAGGGCTTAGGGCTCAGCCCCAGGTTGCAGCCCCAAGACCTGCTTCCGTGGAATTCAGTCGTTATGTGGGAACATGAAAGGCTCACTGTCCTGATCAAACAGGAACCAGATCCAGACTTTGCTCTCAGAGACCTTACGGTTTCTAGCAGGAAACAAAATAAAACCAGTAGCTAGGGAAAGGCAGTAAGTTCTGCGTGCAATTGCAGGAGAGATTTTTTTTGACTGGGGGGAACTAGAAATGCTTTTCGCGAAGGTGGAATTTAAGAGGGGCCCTACTCCCAGGGACCCCAGGAAGATGCAGGTTAGTGACTGGAAGTTCCCATCACTAGATTTTCCAGAAGCCTGGGAGGCAGAGGGAGGGGAGCTGGACAAGGGAACTGGAATTCCCCTGAGAAGCTCAGAACTCCCAGGGAGGCCCCGGGACTAACAGACAACACTTCTCCTCCCTGACCTCCAACAAGGCTCCTTTGGGCTAGAAGCAGGCCTCAAGCCTCCACAGCAGCCCCTCAAACTCCAGATCTTAAGATGACAGAGGAAAATGAAGGAACATAAACCAAGGGTGCCAGCTCCTGGGTTCCTTTTGTGGTTTTCTTTTCTCATCTCAGCCATGATTTGTTCAGCAAAGACCTGAGTGCTTCCTTATGTGGGGGTGGTGGTGGGGGATTCAGGGCATAAAGTTGACACACACATAGTGATAGTTGCCACCGGAGGGATACATGTGTGCCAGGTGCTGTGCTGAGGACTTTTCTCATTTAATGTTCCCAACTGCCCTGAGAGAAATAGGCTTTATCTCAGTTTGACAGGTGAGAGTACTGAGACTTATCAAGGTTAAACCACCACCAACCCTAAAAAACTAGCTGGTATTTAACCAAGGAGTAATAGAGTAGAGTCAAGATTCAAAACCAGGTATGTCTGACTACAAGACCTGTGCAGTGAATTGCCATGAAATTGTTTAATAAAGAAGGTACAGTGTCTGTCTTCTGTGAGCTTACAATATACAATCAAAAATAAATCCAACGGCACCATGGCTCATGCCTGTAATCCCGAGAGGCTGAGGCAGGAGGAGTGCTTGAGCCCAAGAGTTTGAGACCAGTCTGGGCAACATAGAAAGACCTTGTCTCTACAGACAAATCAAAACATTAGCCAGACATGATGGTGTGTACCTATAGTACATCTACTTGGGAGGTTAAGCCCAGGTGGTTAAGGCTGTGCCACTATACTTCAGCCTGGGTGAAAAGTGAAAATCTGACTCAAAAAATTAAAAAAGAGAATAAACCCAGGTCAACATATATTACTTTCATAACAAAAAGGTTCTTAGAAGAAATAAACTAGGCATATAAATTGAGGGCAATAGTAGAGATATTTAAGAAGTATGCTGAAAGACTGGCAACAAAGTTTCTGATTTCAGGAAACTCTCAGGGGTGGTCATGTTAAATGCTTCATAGTAGAGCTTTTCCTGTTTTACAAAAAGATTAAAACCTCAAATATACATCTTCCCTTATGATTTCCCTGTTGAATCCTCAAGTAATCTTAAACTGGGAGTCACTAACTTACTTCTGTAAAAAAATGCCTCCTGGTGTACCTGAGGACTTTGGTAACCTAAATTAAGTAAAGCCCCTCATGGCCCCATCTTAGCATGATGTAAAATCTAAAGAAAACAATCTGGAAAAATATTGAAAGCAATTCAGATCTTCACTTCAGAAAGCCCCTGGGTGTGTTTATGAGTGTGATGGGCAGATATATTCTTAATGTTGAGTAAAACTTATATGAAGGGGAATCACCCCAAAACGGGAATTTATTTATAAAACATTGTGTATTTATCCTTACATGCGTAAACTGTAGTGGCCGAAAGTTCAATTCAAGAGCCAATTCCGATGAAAGTTCAAGAGAGTCTTTATTTTGCAAGCTCGAGCCTGGATCTCTGTCAACAACCAATGCAGTGGAGTACACCCAGAGGCCCTGACTTCCTTAAGCAGATGCCTTTTATGCTTTTACACAAAGGGAGGAGGAGTTTGGGGGGACTTTCCAGTCCTGTTACCATTTAATTGGGTAGTAACCTCTGGTTGTCAGCTCAATCGTGGAGGATTGGCTAGCTTGACTTGGGCTGACCATGGCCCACTAGCTGGTGAAGTTGCAGAGACATTTAGAAACTTTAGGTGATTTTCCCCTGGCACCTGATTGGTTGTTGCTAAGGGGAAAGTGGGTCAAGGGAAGGGGTTGAAGCTTGAACTGGAGCTTTGCAGTTTTTCCCATAACTGAAACTTGAAACAGCTACAGGTTATGTTTTAAAGCAGAAAACTAAAATGGCTGTGCTATTGTTCACAAGCCGATTACATATTTATTGGGTTATAGCATGCTCTTAACCTAAGTTTATGGTATATTCTATTACAGTTCTCTCAAAACTTCAGTCCCCTTCAAAGTACTCTCCATTTGATGCAATACACCTATGGAGATGCTTTTTCCACTGCTCAAAACAGTTTTTGAACTCGTCAATTTTGATGCCTCCTAGTGCTTCTGCCATTTTTTGTTTCACCTCTTCCACATTGGCAAAACTTTTCCCTTTGAGGACTTTTTTTTCAGGTAAACAAACAAAAGAAGTTACTTAGGGCAAGATCAGGTGAATAGAGAAGGTGGGACACAGGAATTTTTGGTCAAACACTGTTGAATACTCAGAGTGGTGTGGGCAGGTGTGTTGCTAAATCACTCATTATGAAATGGGCAAACATATTGAAAGAATTACCAAAAAAAAAAAAAAAAAAATTCACTGAGGCCAAATGCAGCCTCTCACAACAATGCTAACTGGTACACTGATGCCAATGGGTTCCTCGAACACTTACCTAGTGGGGGAAGCCTGTACTAAAAGGGGCCCATCCTCCAAAAGATAATCCCATTTTTGGGAGGTCCCCTTGTAAAGTAGCCTCTTGTCATTTCAACGTTTCTCTTCAAACAGCTGCGATTCCTCAAAATCTCTGTTAATATTCTTCCAGAAACACTTTTTTCCCTGCTCTTTCTTCCCTGGAGCCAGCCTATTTTCTTCCACAAGTCACTTGCTCTCTTTTCAAGTTAATTTCACCAGTCTTTCCTTTCTTTGTTGGTTCTCTCCTGCTCTTCCCAGCATGCCACACACACACACACACACACACACACACACACACACACACACACACACCCCTGTGTACTCTTTATCCTGATCCACTCATAAAGCCCCAAATTGAGGAAGGAGAGAAAGATTAGGGGGACAGCAGTAAAATATTTCTTAGCAAATGACAGAAAAGAAGCTATGACTATTCGTGTCTTTGATAGTCATTATTGTCATATATTTTATTTTATTTTTATACATTCCTTCCAGGTGTTTTATCTGCATGTTTTAAAATTTTTATGTATTGTTCTATTTTAAAATAAATTTTATTGTATGTATTTGAGGTTTACTTTATGAGGTTATGGGATACATGTAGATACTAAAATGACTACTACAGTGAAGCAAATTAACATATCTATCATATCTCAGAGTTACTTTTTGTGTGTGACAAGAACAGGTAAAATCGACTTATTTAACAAAAACCCCAAATACCATGCAATCTTACTCTGCAATTTATCTGTAACAAGGCAAAACTTTTAATTTATAAAAATACCATACTGCCATGGATCTGTTAGCAACCAAAAGCATAATGCTTCAGAAATAGTCTTTGGTTAGTTTTTAAAGAGCAAATCTTAAATTTGTGATATAAAGGTAAATATCAGTTAAATATTTTTATCGGATTTTCTAAGTATTCTAGATGGGGGAAAAATATCCCTAGAAGGCACAAGAATAAAAATGGTAAGTAAAACAGCAGCAATGACTGGCATATATTAAAATTAATGTGTCAGCTTAAAAAGCTGATCATCACTGAGTTGGGATGAGTAAATTGGGTGTCACCAAACCAGGACAGTACAGGAATTTTAGCTGGAGAGAGTGCTGCGGTTCTAGCTTCCTGTAGGTGGCGCTGAGGGGCCATCACGGAGGCCGGCTGGACCCCTGCAGTGTGTTGAGTTTGTGGAGAATTCCAGAAACATCATCTGCTGGGCTCTGCTTTGCAGATTTCAGAGCTGGTCTGCTCTTGTTTGCATGACCTCTCTCTAGAGAGACAGAGACAGAGAGATTGAGAGACAGAGACCTCTTCTTTGCTAGCGCTGATGAGTATTTTAACATAATGACATGACCTAATGATGCTATAGGGGTTCCAGTTCACCAGATTTTTTAGTGCAGTGTTGACTATTGACAGATTAAGTGGCTTCAGGCATGAGAAAGCACATTTACCTTGAAAGTGCCACACAAATAAAAAAGACGGCTATGAGATGACTTAACCGTGTGAGAGTATTTTCACAAATATCATCTCATTTTGTTCTCACAAAATCTTACAAGGCAGGCATCACAGATATTATCAACTTTATTTTCAGGATATGAGGAAACCCATGAAGCAGTTATGGAACTTAG